GTTATAGGACCGTACAGGATGTCTGGAAGAGTCGTTTCCCCCCTGCCAAAAGTCCAGTTCCGAAAATAGAACTGACTTCACCACAGCATGCTTGAAAAAACGCGGACGGGTGGATGCAGTGCTGCAGATAATTACCTACTTCAGGCAGGTAAAATTACCTAAAAACCAAATTTAAATACTGATCAAGAATTTCCCCAGGAATCCCCCAAAATTTTAATAGCAAAACAAGTATAAAAGCTAAAATCTCTACTTTCGCCAATATTTCGTACTTGTCTTCTAAGGGGCGATGCTACTCGTTCTACTAGCTGCTGGCCTACTCGCTGCTACCGTCTATTTCTACACCTTGTACAAGCAAACGGTAGACGAAATCGAGAAAATCTAAATGTAACCCCGCACACAGGCTGATGCCCTCAACCAGTTGAAGGAGGAGAAGAAGAAGGAGGTCCGCCGTGTGCCCTCCAATGTCTCCTTCAAAAGCCAGAAGCCGACAACTCCACAAGTAGTGCAGACTTTTCATTCATTCTGAAATGAATGTTTTAGAAAAGCCTTCCACGTTCCGCCTCGAAGACTTCGGCCAGTGGTGTGGCTACGGCAAAGAGCAATTCTGGCCGTACCATCTCGGCCACCACCGCCATTTCTGCAAAAAGCGTACGAGAGTTGTGTAGATTTTGAGCGGAATATTGTTAGCATCACGTCGTCATCAACCCCACACCGATCACGGCTGATATCGAGCAGAACGGGATGATTGGAGCCCCGATAAATCAAGATCACGAGCCAGCCGTCAATTCCGAGCACGAGGCATCGTTCAAAGGGTCTCCAGATTATCATTCGATTTCAGCCAATGATGCGACCGCATCCTCATCTGACTCCAGCCGCGGCACCCACTGGTGCGTTGAGCTGCTAGCGATTCGACTGGAATAATACTTTGTTCTATTCTTGATCATGGTTCTTTTTAGCAAAGGACGAGGGTTCGGCCCAATCAGCCTCTTGCCATACCGCCGATGTGCAACCGGATGAGCGCGCGAAGACGGAAGCAGCTCTGGCCGCCCCAGCCGCCGCGGCCGCCGACCACTCGCAGTTCGATACTGCGGCTCCGCCGCCGCTGCCAAACGAAAGTGAAGAGAAAAAGAGTGGGTTTAGTCAATCGGCAGCACAAACGATCCTTTGGTCCTGTAGGCGATGATTTAGGCAGCGACTCCTCATCGTCGAGCAAGACCAAGAAGAAACGCGTGAAGGAAGGCCCCCGCAAGATCAAGCCTGGATCGGTGAAGTTGGTCTTGAACCCTTGGTGTTGACCGTGAAAAAGAGACACCGCGATCAGATCAATTTCAGGTCGAAAAGCAACAAGAAGAGCAAGAAGAGTAAGGACAGCAAGCCTGGAGCGGAGAAGAAGGATGGCTCCGACAAGACTGGAAGCAGCGCCACCCCCAAGCAATGAGACACCTCTTCTCAAATGTGACAATAAATATTGGCTCAGACTCGCGATCCTTACATTTCCGACTAAACTTGATTGCGAGCTAGCGTACGTTACACGATAGTTGACAACTTCTTCGGACGAAGCCTCAGCGTCGAGGAGGTCAATCTTCATGCAGCGAGCCGCCGGCCCTACAGTGTCCCCAAAATTCGCCGCAAGCATAGAAAATTTATTCACGCACAAGAGACACGTTAAAGGTTCACTTAAATCGGTAACTAAACATTGCTGCGAGAAACGGGCAGTAAATTGGAAAATTGACAACATTACGATAAAGCCAAATGCAAAATTATAAAAGTGCACACGAGAAAGGTGATCGGGGTCGGATGCAGCTCACGAAGAATGCTAGACGTTGCGATTATCCTCGACACCGGCTAAGATAATATTGGCAAAAGAAACTGCACAAAGTTACCGTGGTGGTTTACAACGAAGACATTCAGTATGGCAGTCATTTCGCGGCCCTCCCATCGATAACTTATCGTCTGGTCTCGTCCAGCCTCCCAATATGTAACGGCCGAAACAGCAAGCCCAGAATCGCCGCCGCTCAGACGAAACATGGCCGACGTGATGATGTACTTGTAATTTGGATTCTTTTCGACCAGGATGGCGGTAACATCTAAACCACAGCGTAATTCACAAAAAGCCATCTTTACCTTCAACGCACTTCTTGTTGATCTGAGTAGATTCTTCAAAAGAGTAGGGCTTTGTGGCGGCGGCACGGTGGTAGACGTCTTGGATTACGGCGACGATTTCTTCTCTTGTCGGCATTTTCGAAGCAGTCGCGGAGCCGTCCCCGTTATGCATGGCACTTATTCTGAAAAAAATTAGATTGTAAAACGTCCGACAAAATGTGGCAACAAAAAAAACCGACTGTCGAATTATAGGACTGGAATTCAAAGCCATCAAAAAGGAAAAGTAAAGAACCTCGGAAAACTAAAATAGTCCCGCCACGCTTGAATGAAATTCCACTTGGTCCACCAAATAGAATGGCAGGAATACGGTAGAAAATGCTACGCGACAGGTCAAATTACGGATCAAAACGACAAACTACAGACACCTTCACGAGAAGTTCTTTTCGTTTTTCATTTTCCGTTGTTGCGATACTTTGCCTCATTGGTTCAATTTTGATTTTCCCTATATCTTTTTGAAAATTTCCTTTCTAATTCTGAAATTGCAGATTGTGTGACAATGGGCATGAGCAAGAAGTGCACTGCTGTTGATTCGCTCTCCGATGCTTCTTCTACATCTTCTCGCGGTTCGTCGATTTATCTGTTCATGTACACTTTTATTTCTAGGCAGCAAAGCCGCCGACGGTCCCAGCAAGAAGCCGGCGACGATTGAAATGAGTGAAGAGCGCAAAGGTGGTGAAGAGTATTCGGATCGCCGTCTCTTCATTTCAAACTTCCCGTTCTCGTGGCATGAGGATGATCTTCGTGCCTTCCTTGAGGAGTACGTTTCTTTTCTTGACATGGATTATATTGTCTTTTAGTTATGGTCCGGTGATGGAAGTCAACATTGTCTACAATGAGCGCGGCAGCAAAGGATTTGGCTTCGCTACCATCGACGACCCTGACCGCTGCTACCGTGCCCGCATGGAGCTAAACCACACGGTTGTGCAAGGACGCCGGGTTGAAGTTCGCAAGGCGCACAAGCAGAAACGGCGTCCAATGCAGCCCCCTACAGGCAACCTCTTCGACATGCGGCTTTTCCAGTCTATGCAGAGTAAGCTTTTCACCAGATTCATTTACGGTTCTCTAGGTCTTGCGAAGAACCCACTTCTTCCCCAGTTGCAGTTGCTAAATCTGCTTTCCAACCCAGATGTGCTTGACCGTCTGCAAGGCGTCACCGCTCAAAACAACATTGGTTACCAAGCACCTTATTCCCCGGCCAACGCGGCTTCGTGCTTCAACTTGAACGAGCTCGCCAACACTGGCCTCCAGCAGGATTGTGCCGATAATCGTGGTCATGGATCCACTTTCTTCCCCGCTGCCAATGTGGCTCACAAAGAGGTGAATCCGATTGTTTAAATTATTCAGGTGCTTAGGGAAACGGATTCATGGGTGCGCGCGCATACTTGACACGCGAGAGCTGCGCTTCTCCTTTGACGCCGCCTCCTAGCGGCTCGGTCTACGGCAATCTCTTCGCAAATCCTTTCAACAACGCCATGGGAAGTACCGACAATTTTCCGGTAATTTTCCGCGCCATTTTTTAGCAAAGGTTTGTAGGATCAACCGCTGCAGCCCGGCTACCTGCAAAACTATAGTCGTCCGGAACAGGATCTGAGGAAGATTTGGTGCGACCCATCGGCCGCCGCCTTCAGGCCCCTTGATGGTTTCGATCGGTCTTATTCGGTATAGCATCTACAAAGGATATCTAGTCTGAATTAGATGGGCGATCTCGGCAAGCACTTCTCATCCCTCTGAAGCACAGCTACTCGATGCATCAAATAAAACTATGTATATTGCGCATGTTGACTATTTTGTCTAACCCGTTGGCCTACCTGCACTTGGTGCCTTATTATTTTCCTGTCTTTGCACCTTCGTGTTTGACACGATTCGATGGTTGTTTGCTTTTGTGAGTGCAATACATATTGATCTGATTTTTTGTTACGAAGCGGTGACAGTTACACAGGATCATACAGATACATAAGCTGCCGATACACATTTCGGACGAATTTGGTCGCTCTCTGTGCTTTGGAGGGCAATTGGGGGGCGCGAAAGGACGGCCTTTGAATGAGAAACGCGGGGAAGTTCTTTCTCCGTTCTTGAGATTGTATCTGTACTTTCCCTCATCATGGTACTTGAGACGATCGAGATGCCTTGGCAGTCCGAGTTTGACAACGACGATTACGACAAGGAAAATATGGAGCCGGAAGAGGTAAATTTGCCAAGGAAAAACAAGATATCTTTTTTTCTAGCCGAAGCAACTAGCCAAGGAAAACGAGGAGCTGAGGAGACGGCTCTGCAAATATGAAAAGCTACATGGCGATATTGACGAGGAGATTTACTATGTGCGTTAAATTTTTTAATTATCATTGTGAATGCCTGCTGACGATTGCCAATTTTAGGAAAGCAACCCTGAAGAGAGCCAGTACCTCGACCAAATCCGCCGCATCATTGCATCGCGAGGACTACGCACCGATCGAACGGGGACCGGCACAATATCTTTGTTTGGAATGCAGAGCCGTTATAGTCTGCGGGATGGTCAGTTTCCCCCATGATGTTGCTAGAGATTTTTCCTTAGGCCGGATTCCGTTGCTGACTACAAAAAGGGTATTCTGGCGGGGCATTGCGGAGGAATTGCTGTGGTTCGTCTCTGGATGCACGGATGCCAACGTGCTGAAGGCCAAGTGCGTTTGTTGTTTAAAAAAAAATTTTCTGCAGAAAAATCCACTTTTGGGATGATAACGGTGGCCGTGCGTTCCTCGACAATTTGGGGTTGCATGATCGAGCTGAGGGTGATCTGGGCCCTGTTTATGGATTTCAGGTACGTTTTATCTCCAGAAATCCACTATTGAAAACTGCTTCAGTGGCGTCACTTTGGAGCTGAGTATCAAGATTGTCGAACGGATTATTCCGGTCGGGGCGTCGACCAGCTAGCCGAGGTGATTCGGCAGATCCGAGAAACACCGGACAGCCGACGGATTATTATGAGCGCCTGGAACCCGAAAGGTGCGATCTTGAAAAATATCAATAATCTGTTTTCAGATCTGCACCTCATGGCTCTTCCCCCCTGCCACACAATGTGCCAGTTCTACGTGCAAAATGGCGAGCTGAGCTGTCAGCTTTATCAGCGCAGCGGGGATATGGTATTTCTCGGATTTGATGCATCCATGTTTTAGGGCCTGGGAGTACCGTTCAACATTGCCAGTTACTCTCTGCTGACGCACATGATCGCACATGTTTGCGGCCTGAAGGTAATTGTTATCTTTGGCTAAAATATACGACTTCCAGGCAGGAGATTTTGTCCATACGCTGGGCGATGCTCACGTTTACTCGAATCACGTCGAAGCTCTACAGGAACAGGTATTCACGCCGATTTTCAAAATATTGTTAAATTTTTCAGCTGCGCCGCGTACCAACGGCTTTCCCGCGCATCTCTTTCGCCGAGGGCATCAAGTCTATTGACGATTTTACCATGGAAAAGGTACGCTTTCTACTAATATAATAATTTTTGTATGTTCACAGATCCATCTACACAACTACAACCCACAGGGTACAATTGCCATGAAGATGGCGGTTTGAGAATGCCGCCAAACACCCTCTTCCATCTGTACAATCCACATTTTTCTTTCAGCCACCCAACTCGTACAAACTGCCGAGTTTCATTTTTTTAAATTGTCATTGTAAATAAATTATTTAGTGCAACCACGGTTTTCAGGGTTTTCAAGCTATATCACATCACGAAACTCTTGTATTACCTAAATTTTTAGTAAAAACGACCCTTGATGAATAGAGTGCACTTTTTCCGAAACCCATGCTAGTGCGAATGCAACACAGCAAGGTTGTCATGTGTGTAAGGGCCGGGGGAGAAGAGCTTTTCCGTTGCATGTGAGGAATGGACACAGTGAAGGGTGGTTGGTGGTGGTCACCGGGTTGGGTGAGGAGCCGGAGTGAGTGAGGAGGAGTGTGTGGCATGGAGTGAGGCGATGCCCTCCGGGGTCTTTTCGCCCCAATCACCCGTTGCCGGCCATCCATCGCCGATATCGATCGATCGGGTCACATCGATGGTGCCGGGGGGTTGCGCGAGGGTTGGATGGCATGTTGTTAGCCGCCTAGGCATCATGTCTTATGATTTATTTAGCAGAATGTAATTTTTTACTGATTGTGCGCTTCCGGACGCTCTTTTGCTTTGATAAAATCAGCAAAAGCTTTAGTAGAAAACTATTAAACAATTAAATGCCAAGTCCATATAAGTTCTTCGTATGATTTATATGACTTTAATAAATAATATGGGAAAATGTGACCTTTTTGGTGATTTTCATACATTTTGACCAAAAAGTAAAAAAAGTTCGAAAATTTTTATGTGATTTTTGTATCTAAAAACAAAGCTGTGTAAAATACTATGAAAATGGTTTATACTTTATACTATAGAACCATATGAATTACTGGGAGAAAAAAATTGGTTTCCCTCATTAACTGAAGCGCCAAGATTTTCATCCTCGTTATTAGAGCTTTTCCTTTAAAACCGGCCAATCGTCGCTAGGACAAATTTTTTTAGATACTACTGGCACAAATTCAACGGGTTTTTATAAGAACGTGTAGCCCAGTTTTGCGAACGTTTCCCGAAGCGTAGATGCTTTTTTCCTGTCCTATTTGGCTTCATTGGCCAGTCGCCGATTGATGGCGGACAGGGCTCGTCGTCAATCGGGAAAGCAATGCACTCCTCTGATGTGAGTGTTTTGTGTGCAGGCCATCGAAAGATTCGCATCGCGATAAAGCCCCGCGGGGCGTTTCGGTCGTGATCTGGCTGGCAGTCAGTGGACGACTCGGGTTGGCAGTCGAGGACACTCTGGGGGTTGTTTATGTCTGCGGCAAGTGGTCTTTCGCACGGATGCGATCCGTAAAAATGGTCAATACATTGAGCCGACGGTATAAAGTTTGCTCTTGGCTTAATCGGTGTATTTTTGTCATTATTCCGGGCTATTGGATTTACTTTTGAAAGTTACGTCAAGTACCTTGCGTATTACATTTCGATTTGGCATCAAAAAAGGTTTTATAGTAGTTTCTAAAACGTTTTACGAATATCGCTACGTCGGACTGCTGATCTCAATTTTTAGAGATATCGCTTATTAAATTCTGATTTTCCTCATAGAATGAAGTTTTTAGACTAGATTTTTATGCTGTTCCCAAGATCACAGATTGTAACCGCTGTGTTTTCGATTAAAAAAAACAAGTTTTTTGGCCGAGAATACGTTTTTTCAGAACGTCACTTTTTTGTTGTTTGAAAAAACTTTTCTGGAATCTACACGTTTCAAGCCTACGTTTTTAATGTCTAGCTTATTTCGAAAATTTATACATTTTCAGGCGTGCACTTTGGAATTTTAAGTTTCTATCTTTTATGTTTTGCAAGAATACCGCTCTCTATCCCGAAATTCTGTATCCCGAAACTCCCAATCCCGAAATTCTGTATCCCGAAATTCTGCATCCCGAAACCCTCTATCCCGAAAACTCTCTATCCCGAAAACTCTCTATCCCGAAAACTCTCTATCCCGAAAACTCTCTATCCCGAAACTCAGTATTTTGCGTTTCCTAACGCCCTACATCCTTGAAGGCATCGGAAAATCATTTTATCAAATTTCCGAAACCGAAAAATAGCGGAAAACTATTTACTCAAAGATCTAGTCTGGTGTTCGGCACGTTAAAGCTAGCTCATTTGTTTCGGGATATGGAGTTTCGGGATAGAGAGTTTTCGGGATAAAGAGTTTTCGGGATAGAGAGCTTTCGGGATAGAGAGTTTTCGGGATAGAGAGTTTTCGGGATAGAGAGTTTTCGGGATAGAGAGTTTCGGGATAGAGAGTTTCGGGATACAGAATTTCGGGATACAGAATTTCGGGATACAGTATTTCGGGATACAGAATTTCGGGATAGGGGAAATACCCCGGTCTGAGGGATAAGCAGGGGGACAGTTGTATGCCCTCCCGTTCTTTAATTGTTCACCCAGCCACCCAGCCGGGCCCTATTCATGCAATTTCTAAAGACACCCCCAGGGCGAACGGCCGATTGGGAGAACTGTCGACCCCCCCGGGTGCCTTTTGTATTGTCAATGCCTTTAGGACAGACAGACAGACAGCCCCTTCCTGTTCTTTCTCACCCCCAAAAAAGGGGGGCCATCTGGTGGGTATTGGGGGGTATATGGGTGGTGTGCCATTGCTCGTCTCATCGATCGCCATGGTGTTCTTCTCATGTCGTGTACCCCATCCCTCCCCCCCCTACACCCCTACCCATCCTTTTTTGGAGAGAGAGGCTTTTTGGCTTTTTAGTCTTGGCTTTATTTCTTCGATTTTTAGATGTTTGTCGTCTTGTTTGACACTATTTTCGCCGCCTTGTTTTCAGAGCTTTCGGGTTTAATTTTTCAAAATTAGGCATTTGGGGGTTTTCCTTTCTTTTTTAATAGGGTTGATATTTAATCTATCCTCTTTATGATTTATCTTCGATTCACGGTTTTGTTAGCTCTATGTAGATGTATAAATCGAGCCCATTTTTCGCGTTTCCCCTTAATTCTCAGCATTAAAAAATGTTTTCTGAGTCCTAAATTTAATTTTTGGGAGAATGCGATGTTTTGGGTGTTTCGACCGGGTTGTATTCTATTTTTTCCGCTAGTTTTAGTACTTTAATTGTGTTGTGTTGTGCCATTCATCCGTTAATTTAAAAAAATTTTTTTAGTTTTTCCGGTCATAATTTTACGTGCTTTTCCCGAATTGATGTTTGCTAGATCCGGATGACCTCTGGGCTTGCCAGCCTCTCCTCTTCTTCAGTTTTTTTGCCTTCTTTACCCAGGGTCACCCTCCGTCCATTCCTCCTTTACCCTCGTGCTCCCCCTTCCGCTCGTCCTCCTCTGAAATGGACCCCTTCCCACCACCCGGGGTCATCTTCCCCCAAACGATTTTATGGTCCAACTTTTTTTTGCGGCTGACCTTTCTTGCGGCATTTTTGACTAGTGTGCGTAAGGGATTTTAAAGGGTTTGGGAAGCAAACGAGCTCGCTAAAACTACGGAAAGCTTTCGAGTGATTTGGGAATAAACTTAGGCTTAGGCTTCGGCTTAGGATTGCTTAAATCATGGTTTATCGTTGAATAGCGCTACCTCTAAATTTATCAACTCAAGTTCAACCCGACCACACCAACTTTTTTACTTTTTTGTCCCCATAACCAAATTCTCTCCCTTTTAACTCTTTTTTTGACCCAGTTGCCATCTCCATCCAAAATGGGACGTCGTTCCGAGAGTAGCGTAACGGAATCACTGGCTGGCCTCTGCCGGGGACCAATTTCCCGAATGGGGCCAGGCTCCGATTCCCAACTCCCCCTTCCTCCTCCCGTCGTCGTTTTTTGGCTGAGGGCCATCGGGGCTTTTTGGGGGTATCGAGTCGACCATCGATGCTCTTTCCCCCCTTCACCCGTACCACTCTCAAACACCCATATACCGCTTCCGGGCGCCAAAAAAAAAGGAAACAACCGAAGTTCTGGGGGGTTTTCAAAGCTTTTGTTGGTACAGAATTCGGAAACTTCATTGGGACTGATAGACTGCCGTCGCGGTTGATTTCCGTAGTCTAGTTATCTCCAAGAATCTCTGCTAGCCTGCCTTCTCCTAAAGAATCTCTGCTAGCCTGCTTTCGCCTAAAGATTCTGCGCTAGCTTGCCTTTCGTGCAGTAACCCGAATTTCCTTAAGAATCCTGCCAGCCTCCCCCTCCCCTCCGTATCACTTCGTACTCCTCCCTCAACACCCAGCCATCCTTTTGTGAGGGACCCATAAGCGAATTTGGGTACCTCTCCCTGGCCACGTGCGGGGTCCTGGGCCAAGGTATCGGGAGCCCTTGTATAGACGGAAATGGGAAAGGATCCTAAAAAGGCATCGAAAAGAAGGCGAAGGAGGAAGAGGCTAAGAAAAGGATCTTCCCGCTCAATTCAAGGCCACCCTTCCTCTTTGCCCTTCAATACCTCACACCTCGCCCGTTTTGGCACGAATTTTGCTCCTAAATATACGGCGCCAATTTTATATCGGTTTGGTATTTCTGTTGCCTTTTGGGCTTGAATTAATATATTCTACCGTTTTTCAATTTTATGAATTTTTTATTATTTTTATTAATATTATTTTTGATTATTGAGTTTTTTGTTGTATTATTCCAGTTTTCTAAAATTTTAGAAAATTCACTGCCGACCTTCGATTCGATTTTCGATCAAAATGACCGATTTTCGACAAAAAAAGTTACATTCATTTTTTTCATTTCTCGAATTTAATTTCTTTTTCACCTGAAATTTAGCGAAATAGCACTAAAAACACCATAGTAGGCATTTCTCGGCTTAGAGAAGAAATTCGCGACGTCCTCCCCGATATTGCAAAAGCTCCATGAAAATAGATTCTAACCACCGAAAAAACAGCGAAACACGTCCCAATTAACCCCACTCTCGCCATTCTCCCCGTTCCGATATGAATCGGCCTCGATACACCGCCTCAAACTTACGCCACCCCTTTTTTGGGCCACACCGCCGAACACTACTCTTCCCCTCATTAAAGGAACTGTG